GAAGCTTGAGTGCCGTGAATGTAGCCTCAACAGCGCCTGCAAACTGCATTCAGGGCGCCGTGAACGTAGCCTGCCAACTACATTCACGGCGCGTGAACCTAGCCTGCAGATTACTACACGTCACGGCGCCACTGCGTAAATTTTAAAACCGCTGAAGCTACAGCGTCTCTATATTTCAGCCAATCACAGAGATGTGCTACATGCTCGCTGTAGCTTCAGCGAAATAAAACAAACACACGGGTCGCCATCACGCGGAGAACGAGCGACACTTCTGTCACAAGTTCAGGTGGACGTCCTTTGTTACTGGGTAAACAGTGACCATTCATCTCACTTACGATTTGTGTATGAGTTCTGGGCGGGGCTTAAGGGTTATGAGGGATCATACGCTTACCTCACCAGCAGCTGAAAATTGGTAACTATTGGTCAACAGTGGGAGGGGCCTACGCAACTTGATCGGTTGGTAGGACTACCTAACAACAACGATAGGTGATTGGATTATGACGCTCGCTCAGAACGCCAGGGGCCGATGCACAATTTATAACAAAACATAAGTCATAATGGAGTCACTAAGGTGGCCGTCTAACTCTAAGACCGGTGTTATTGCTTAGTGTGATAGGGGTTGTGTGTTAAAATATGGTGGCCGCGGCCGCGTTGGACAGGTGCTCATTTTACAGTTAAATTTTATAGAAAAAAACGCAAGGGGGGGGGGGGGGGGATGGAAAGTGGCCGTTTGCACAGGTAGCCGTCAGGGCAGGTTTGACTGTTGTTATTTCTTCTTTCGAATTATTGAATTTTTTAAAAACCCAAAGTAATAAAGATGAATCTTCAAGAATAAAGTATTGCACATCCTATCAATGCTTTACATGAATAATGTATGATGCAGCATAGTTGATATCAAACTTAAGAGAGAAATTCAGATATTCACGAAGACCAATGGCTGTGGTGTAGCAGTAACTGTTAGGCCCTTTGCTGTAGCACACAGGAGGCCCAAGTTCAGTTCCTGAGTGGGGTGAAATTTTTTATTGAGTGTCTCAATCTTTCTGCTGGGATGCATCCCTCTTAGCCCTGGTCGGCACTGGCAGGCAGTGTCGAGAACCTGCCTCTTAAATAATTCCAATTGTGTCGATGGGGACGTAAAAAAACTCTTACTCCTACATTTAAAAAAAAAAAGAAGAAGACATTTTAATTTATTTCTTTCATGAAGAGAAAAAGTTAGGTGTGCATGAAAAAGTATTATCTGCTACATTTTAAAAATAAAGGTTTACGCCTCTCAGACTTTGGACACAATGAAATTGTTTGTGTTAACCCTATCCGTACGCCCGTGTGGTCATTTTGTACCCCTGGGATTGTATTCGTCACATTTTAGAATACAAATGTAATTCTAGTGCGAAGATCTCTTTGAATTGAAACCTTCAATATTTCTCCAAAAATCATTTTGGCAGACTGCTATGCAAAGTCGCAGCAAAGCGTAGGCTACGGATCGGATTAACGAGTAAATTTCCTCTTTGGAAAGTGGTGGCACAGAGTTTCCCATGTCGTATGGATACGATAGTAAAACACGACGTACGGATAGGGTCAACCAGTACGTGTAGAGGATTTGAAAGGGAAAATCTTTTTAAAAAACAAAAAAAACTGTCAACACAAGACGAGCGGTTGAGGCAGAAATGCCTTACTTTGAGCGATAACCCATGCGTATTCAAAAGGCTTCCTAAACAAACAAAAGAGCAACAACCTATTTAGTGCAGATCTACTCGTGGAACTTGAAACGTGACTAAAGCACAAGCTTGTTGTATGTAGCCTGTTCATGAAAAAATGCAACTTGGCTTGGGGATAAATAGTGCAAACCGAGGCTGGAGAGTGAGGTGGGGGATGTAAATTCAAGGATTGG